CGTGAGCTTGACCCGTGGACGAGAACCAAAGCCCAAGCCACGCTCGAGCCACAATAAGACCGGGATGGATTAAACTTAAAGCGTGACGAGGATCTTTGCAATTTTGCTGTGGAACATCAGCCCAACCAGAACAGACGCCAGCCCACCATCGAGGAGAAGACTCACTGCAGTCATCTCCTCTACTGCTCCATCATCCACCACGAACGCCCTAGGCGCTTTCCGCCTTCCCTTCGCTTCTTTGATACCCACTTTCCAACGATCAGCAGCAAGTACTGCAGTCGCATTCAAACCCACTCTCCATTCAGCCTTTTCACCCAAACACAATTTTCAAATCACCCTAGTTCGAGCATACGCTAGTCGTAAAATGCCTCCAAAGAAAGCTGCCAAGGAGGAGAAGATTCTGCTAGGCAGGCCCGGCAACAACTTGAAGAGTGGTATCGTATGTAGGAAGCCATTCCTAATTGTTGATAGCTTCAAGTCCTTACCCTGACAGCAATACTCAGGTCGGGCTTGCGAATGTAGGAAAGTCTACACTGTTCCAAGCAATCACAAAATCCAGCCTCGGTAACCCTGCCGTAAGTTCTTGCCCTCAAGACCTTGTCGGATGCCCGCGACTCACGTGCGGAATAGAACTTCCCATATGCCACAATCGACCCTGAAGAGGCCCGTGTCATTGTACCCGACGAGCGTTTCGACTGGCTAGTCGAGCATTACAAACCCAAGTCCGTTGTCCCCGCCAACTTGACTGTGTACGATATTGCAGGTCTTACAAGAGGTGCCTCAACTGGAGCCGGTCTTGGGAATGCTTTTCTATCACACATACGCGCGGTCGATGCCATCTTTCAGGTTGTAAGATGTTTCGACGACGCCGAAATTATCCACGTTGAAGGTGACGTCGACCCAGTTCGTGACTTGGATATCATCAGCGAGGAACTACGAATCAAAGACATCGAATTTGTGGAAAAAGCGCATGAAAGTCTAGTCAAGCAGACAAGGAGAGGTGGGCAGAGCTTAGAAATGAAGAAACTCAAGGAGGAGCAAGCTACCGTGGAGAAGATTCTTGCCATGTTGAAAGAGGGCAAAGACGTCAGGAAAGGGGATTGGAGCCCTAAAGAGGTAACTCTCCACATTTTCTTTACATCCAACGCCATCTCTGTGCAACATGATGATCAAGAGCGATTGCTCTATAATCCCAGCTCTTTGAATCCTCATACATCTCACGTAGAGGAAACATGAAAAGTAGTCCAACCCTGAACTGCACCTAATTTGCTATAACTCCACAATTTTCTGTTACGATACTTGTTCACTGACCGTTTCGCTTGCAGGTCGAGGTCATCAATCCTCTTTTTCTGCTGACAGCCAAGCCAGTGGTTTATCTCGTCAATCTTAGCGAGAAAGACTACATCCGACAAAAGAACAAACATCTCCCAAAAATCGCACAGTGGATCAAAGAAAATGCCGCGGGCGACCCAATTATCCCCATCTCGGTGTGCTTCGAGGAGCGCCTAACACGGTTTGAGACCGAAGCTGAGGCTGAAGAAGAGTGCAAGAAGTTGGGCACTAAATCAGCACTTCCCAAAGTCATCGTCACTATGCGTAAAGCCCTCAATCTCGGGAGCTTCTTCACCACTGGCGCGGATGAAGTCAGACAATGGACCATACGGAATGGAACGAAGGCGCCACAGGCCGCCGGTGTGATTCACGGAGGTAAGCTCTGTCCTTGACTCGATAATGAATGGACTGTTGCTAAATTCATGGCAGATTTTGAGAAGACTTTCATTCAGGCAATTGTCTACAATTACAACGTCTTGAAGGAAGAGGGCGACGAGGCGGGAGTCAAGGCCAAGGGGAAAGTAATGACCAAAGGGAAGGAGTACATAGTGGAAGATGGCGATATCCTGCTCATCAAAGCCGGAGCGGCGAAGTCATAGATGCCCAGGTGCTACGAAAGAACGGCCTCGGGTTAACGTTGGCCGCAGCCTGGCAGGTAATATTTTTTGGCGCTCAGATAGAGTTCACGTGAAGCGCTTAAAGTTGGCCGTCACCAATGGAATCTTCCACACAACTAAGATAATGAACACCTATAAACTTTCGTCCACCACAACATCTCACTCTTGGCGTAAACTTTGGAAATCCTACGTGACAAACAGAACACTTTCGAGCCTATACAACTCGACGTGCCCAAGTGCTACCTAGACACCTCAACTAATTGCCACAATGGTACCCCACCTCCCCTGCCACGACCCTCTAGCAACAATCTCACACAGCTCACCTAGGCAACACAAACCTCCCAAAAACGCTTAGCACTTGCAATCGTTGACTTCCTGTCCTCATCCGTCAAAGATGGCACCGTCGCGTCCGAAGACGCCGAGTCGCTCGAAATCGCCTCCAACTGCATCGCCGAAGCATTCAAAGTAGACCCCACAGACACAGCCGCCACAGCAGACGCCCTCGGCGGCCAGAGCCTGCTCAAGATTTACTCTGTGTATGAGAAACTAAAGGGCAAGAGTACAGCGAGCACAAAAGGCGACAGCAGCGCGCAGGAAGCACGGCCAGCCACACCTGCGACGCCGGCGGAGAGTGTGCCGGGGCCTGCTGGTGCGGGCAGCAAGGAGGAGGCTGAGAAGTTGAAGGCACAGGGGAATGCGGCTATGCAGAAGAAGGAGTATGCCACCGCTATTGAGTTTTACACAAAGGCACTGGAGTTGGTCCCACTGAACCCGATTTATCTGTCGAACCGTGCGGCAGCGTATTCAGGCGCAATGAAGCATGAGGAGGCGAGGCAGGATGCTGAGATGGCGGTTGCGGCGGACCCAAAGTATTCCAAGGCGTGGAGCCGGCTAGGACTTGCGAGATTCGCGTTGGGGGATGCGAAAGGGAGTATGGAGGCATATAAGCAGGGTATGGATGCTGAGGGCGGTGGCAGCGATGTCATGAGACGTGGTTACGAGACCGCAAAGAAGAGGTATGAGGAGGAGGTTGGGGATGTGGGTGCCCCTGATGATGTCCCGAGAGGCATGCCTGATCTTGCGGGTCTGGCGAGTATGTTTGGTGGAGGTGGTGCTGGGGGTGGTATGCCGGATTTCAGCTCAATGATGCAGAATCCAATGGTGCAGCAGATGGCGCAGCGGGTGATGCAGAATCCGGATATGCTGAGCAGTATGATGAGTGATCCGCGGATTGCACAGATGGCGGAGAGGTTTGGGGCTGGTGGCAGAGGTGGTGGAGAGGGGGGTGGGATGCCGGATTTGTCGAGCTTGATGAATGATCCGAATATTGCGGATATGTGAGTATTTCGATTACTGTTTTCGATTCTTAAATGCTGACTTGGTGTTTTCAGGGCTAGGAATTTCATGGGAGGTGCTGGTGGGGCTGGACGAGGTGCTCCGCCGTCTTAGGGGTGAGTCTGTTATTTATTTGAGACAGTATATCATAAAGCGAGTACGCTATATGTGAAGATAGACAGTAATGATACCAAAGGATCAAAACATTAGCAAGTCGACTAGATATCTTATGGTTTCCTTAGGAGCGATGTGTGTGACTACGATTTAGTGCTAGAATCGAATATCTGATTGTATTGCTAAGATTAAAGCATGTATACTGTTCAGACACGTTTGCGTCGTGATCCACGTGCTAACAGAGTGCGCTTATGCTGCTTTGCAGCTGCTCTCAGCACTGAACAGCCCCCGTTTCCTGCCTTATAGAATCTCCAAAAACCTCCGCATTCTTGCGCGGCGCTTCCCAAGGTCCAGGCTCCAATTCTCTCAAGCCTCCCAACCTTCTCAGCCCGGCCTGGCCACTGGATCGTCTCCGTATGCTCTCATCCCTCCGCAACCCTCACCCCAAATTCAACATCCAAAGTCCATCACCAAGACAATGGCCCCCCTCCATCGCCGCCCCTTTCTTAACCATCTTCATCTCTTTCGTGCCCATTTTCAACACCCCCACCAGACATGCATTCTCCTTCCCTTCCGCCTCCACCACGACCACCGTGCCCGGCTCTAGATCTTCCTTGCCATATCTCTCCACGTCCTCTTCGTCAGCGTCTGGGTTCGGCAGACGCCCTCCTGCTGAAGTGAGACCGGGAGCCATTAAGGTAGCGCCGGAGAGCACGAAGCGGATTGCGCCGCGGTCGATGCGTAGGCGGGGGAAGCAGTTTGGATACTTGTGGACGACGGCGAGGTGGGGGATTAGGGCGTCATCCATGTGTTGGAAGAAGAGGGGGTTGGAGCCGAGGGTGTATAGGGAGACTCTGTCGGGGCTGCGGTGTTCAACTTGTCAGCATTTCGCTTCTTGACATATTCATGAGGACAAGGTAAAGAGTTGGAGGCTGTAGAGGCAGAGGGAGAGAGGAGAGAGGTCAAAAGACGCACAGTTTCACAAGATCCAGTTGTTCTTTCTTCGGTATAATCTCATCGATATATGGTCCGAGTAACGGATACTCCTCCACAATCTTCCCTCGTATCGCGCGCTGGGCTGAGGACTTGACTTTGGATTTAGCACCGGGGGTGATGCTATTGTTCAATTAGAGCGAACTTGGATATGAAAGGGGTAGGTGAGCTGGAGGAGTGTGTATATACTCTTTCTTGAACATTTTGATTTTGTTTGAGAGGGTTTGTTAATATGACTTTGTAGTTTGTGGTTAGAATCTGGTTGCCCCACAATCGAAGTTGGAACTGCGGCAGTGGGGCGTATGGGCTGCCGCGGGGTCGAGTTTTATTCCCTTGCTTGGTAGAGCGGGAAATACAGGCTGATTAATAGTGTGCTTCTATGCTCATAAATTAAGAGCTTTATTTTATAGGCAAAATAAGTTAAAGAACTTCTAGGAGTGCTTGCTTCGAGGTGTTCTGTCCGTACCACCATATTCGAAAATCAGAACTAGAAACCATGCCATCAATCTGCCATCTAGATATGCGGAAAATACATTTAAAAAAAAATCGAGGCTAAGATACCGCTGAATAAATTAAAACTTTATATAGGTTGGTGGGAACAAAAACAAAAGCCCAACGCGGGGATCGAACCCGCAGCCTTCAGATGGCGAAGTTCGGGAATGAATGTTTACATCCACTAGACCTTGTACTAAGAGTCTGACGCTCTACCGATTGAGCTAGCCGGGCTGAACTGAAAATGCAGTGAAATAATTCTCTAAATATTGATATAAAAGTTCTAACGAGCTTATCGGCGAAATATCCAAAAAGCTCCGACGTGCTTCCAGTCGGACCATCGTCAATCACCCAAAAACTTTCAAATTTCCTCCATAACCACCCCTACGGCTAGCCCTCTAAATGGGTCTTTCGGATTTTGAAAAAGAGCTCGCAGAGGCTAAGGCGAAAGAATCTCGCAAAAAGCGCGATCGAAGTCGCAGTCGGGAAAGAAACCATCACCATTCGAGGGTTGTCAATCCCAACTTTAACTCTTGTATGCCCAGATCTGAACTGACATGCTACAGGACAAGGAACGAAAGCACCACCATAACAAGCACCACTCCTCCCGCCACCATTCCAAAGACGATGAAGCCGAGTCACGACACAGACACAAACGATCACGTCAGGACCGAGAAAAAGACTCAGCCGATCAATCTGGCCAGAAACGCAGATCGAAACACAACGGCTCGCGGTCGCCCCTCTCCGCCGCTGACGATGCCTCAGACGAATATGCTAATAAAAGCATCGCGCCACCTGCCGACGACATTCTAGACACCAGGCTTGAAGAAGCCGCCGACTCGGACCTGAAACGCGATTCATGGATGCAAGCGCCTTCGTCGATGGACGTGGACTTTGTGAAGCGGACACAGAGGAAGGAGAAGCCGATGTCGATGCGCGCGACGCAGAATGATCACCAGCTCAAGATCCATCAGAATGAGTTGAACCGCCACTTGCACGACCTTGAACAAGATACTAATAACGAGGATGATGGGAAGGCTGAAGTCAGGGATGAACCCGCCCAGCGTGAGATTAACTATACATTTGGCGATGCGGGCTCCCAATGGCGGATGACGAAGCTCAAGGCTGTGTACCGACAAGCGGAGGAGAGTGGCAGGCCTGTGGAAGAGATAGCGGTGGAGCGGTATGGCGACTTGCGCGACTTTGACGATGCGAGGGAGGAAGAAATTGAAGTTGATCGGAGGAAGATGTATGGCAGGGACTATGTCGGAAAAGATAAACCCAGCGGAGAGTTTTTTGAACAGCGGAAGCTCGACCAAGGCATTAGGAGGGCTGCACTGGATCGCGAAGAGAATATAGATCTCCCTCAAAGTCAGGTAGTACCAGATCCTCAGCTGGCTGCGACTACGGTTGAGTTAGATCAAACAGCCTTGAACAAGCTAAAGGCCCAGATGATGAAGGCGAAACTCCGAGGTGCTGCGAATGCCGCACAACTTGAAGCGGAATACAACAACGCCACTGCAGCATCCGCAAACCGCAAGGGGCCGGATGTTGTTGTGTTAGGCGCAATGGATAACCGCATGCTGGTCGGCGGCCGCAAAGGCGAAGTCAAAGCTGTCGAAAACAAGAGGGGCAAAGAGCGAGGTCTGGTCGTCGAGAACGAGGACATGAGCATCGCGGACATGGTTCGACAAGAAAGACGAACAAGAGGCCAAGCTGGCGGAGAGGGTCTCCTTATGGCAGAGAGAATAGCCAAAGATGCCAAATTCGACGTAACACTACTCCCGTTCCATCCATCTCCTTAACTATGAAACACTCCCTTATTCAAACCGCATACTAACTATACATTCCCCAGACCGACCTCGACTATATGGACGAAAACGCAACCAAACTCGCCTCCCGTGCCCCCAAATCCGACGTCAACCTCCGCAACACCGCCATTGCCGACTTCCAACGCACAAACCGCATCCTGGATGCCTGCCAGCTCTGCCACCACGAAGATAAGGCTCAACCGCCCATCGCCCCCGTAGTCTCCCTCGCCACCCGCGTCTATCTCTCCCTACCCACTGAGCCCGAAATCAGTGACGGTGGCGCTGTCATCGTGCCCCTCCAGCACCGGGCCAACTTACTCGAGTGCGATGACGACGAGTGGGAGGAGATTCGCAATTTCATGAAGTGCTTGACCCGCATGTACCACGATCAAGGCCGCGACGTGATATTCTACGAGAACGCTGCGTCGCCGCATAGGAAGCTGCATGCGGCTATGATGGCGGTTCCGGTGCCGTATGAGCTGGGTGAAACAGCGCCTGCATTTTTCCGCGAGGCAATTTTGTCTAGCGATGCGGAGTGGACACAGCATCGGAAGCTCATTGACACGCTTAAAGCGTCGCAATCAGGACTCGGCAAAATGGCGTTCAGGCGGAGCCTGGCAAAAGAGATGCCGTATTTCCATGTCTGGTTTGAGTTGGATGGCGGAATTGGGCATATTGTTGAGGACTCCAACCGCTGGCCCAGAGGCGATCTGTTTGCGCGCGAGGTCCTAGGTGGGATGTTGGACGTGGAGATAGAAATTGTGAAGAGACAGGGACGTTGGAACAAAGGGGATAGGAGAGTCGAGGGATTCAGAAAGCGGTGGAGGAAGTTTGATTGGACGACGATTTTAGCGGATGGCTGATATTGCATAGTTTCCAACCTAGCATGTAGATGCTGTGATAGTACTAATATACCATATGTTGGACTTTTTCATCTTCCGCATATGAGCTGATCCCGTGTAAATCCTCCATGTCTGCCATCCTCGCCATAAACATATCTACGCAAGGCGCTCCTCTCCTCATCGCGTTCAGCGTTGCAAACAGCACCTGCACAGCTTCAGTCGCTTGTGTGTCCAAATTTGAGTTCCGTAACACGGGAGGAAGGGCTTGCATCGCGGTTGAGAGGCATGGAATAACCAAAGGATCTAGCTGGAGTACTAGCGAGGACCTGGTTGGATTGGGATACCAGCTTTGAGTCGCAGATGATGTGGACCGAAGCGCAAGTCGCATGAGCTGCGAGATGCTGGTTGCAGCGGTGAGACAGCGGGGAGAGGTGTCTGTTAGGATATTAGGAGTTCTGAGTTTATTGTTTGCTTGAGCACTGTTATTGGCGTAGGCGAAAGCTGTGCGGTGCGCAAGTATTGTTGAGGTATGGATGAGGGTAGTGAGAAACATGACTTGCGGGTCCAACTTTGGAGATAGCGGGTAATCGAGAGCGATTGAGACTGACTTGATCAGTGCGTCGAGTTTGTAATGATGGGTCCAGAAGTCGTAGCTGGAGTCGGATTGGGAGCTTCGAGCGTGACTAAGGAGACTCCGGTATAAAAAGCCGGCGACAGCTACGCCGGCAATTAGGCATATATCACTGGTTTGTGGGTTCTCGATAAATTTGTGAAGCGATATAGAGGAATCCGGGGCACTAGTGCTGCGTTCGAAATCGGCTGACGGAAGATGGGTAGTTATCTGTCGTACAGTCAGTAACTTATACATGACACCATGTAGGACTCACATCTTGGTCATTTGCTTTCTTTGATTGCCCGCAGACAGCTTCTGTTAGGCAGATAAGAGTGAAAACTGCCCAGAAGGTGCGACGTCTCTCTTGCACTTCCGTACAATCCGTAGCTGCTTGAAAACGCAAGTAAAGATTCGTATAACTGGAACCTGACTCTTGATCCATTTTGTCTAGCCCGAGTAATCGCGAGAGTCTCAAAGCTCGACCAGCTGTCATGTAAGCTCGGGCAAAATGGGCTCGTCGAAATTCATAGATTGCAATGAAGGTACAAGTTTGCACTGCTTCAAGGGTCATGAAGTCTGCATCCGACTCCCCCATCTCTATTTTTTTTTCAGATCTTCTCGAGTTCGCTGGTAGAATATCTCCTCCAAGTGCGAATATTCATCGGATACAAGAGAGCCAAGAGCACAGACGATGTGATTAAGGCTGCTGAGTTGGTGGCCGAGTGGAATTTGAGAGAAGGAAGAAAACCGCAGGTCAAAACGAGGGCGGTAGATGATTGGGCATGAAGCATGCATTATTTCGAAAAAGGAGTTGTGTCTGAATTAAAGTTAGCCTTGACCTGCAATTGTGCAGTTTATCTCAACGCGGAACCACTCAAGATCATAATACACTGCTCAAATTTTTAGCGCTAGCCACAACGCATTGCTTAGGATTCTTATAGAAGAAAGATATTATAACTTATAACTCATCCGTTACCCGAGTGGGGAGAGTGTTATTATGAATCTTGATATCCGATCTCGGCAGTACCAGAGGTTTAATTGGATCCGATGTAATGCTACTCAGAATCTTTAGGCTGGGCACGCTGTAAGCTGCAGCGGCAGGGGCTAACTCAATGGATAGGCTTGGTGTCTGGAACCTAAGGAGGTGGTTGAAGCTTGCGGAAGGGTCGGGAATATATGAAACCGGTAAAGTAGAGATCGAAGAATTGCTCGGATCTGGGGAGTTTTCAAACATTGCCGGCGCCTCGTTCGGCCAATTCTCGTTGAACGACGAACCTGAATGATAAGACAAGTCTGGACGATTCTGCAAAGCCAGTTTTGCTTGTGCCTGATCTATGAGATCGGAAGATAGGTGTTAGCCTATTACCCAAAATCTCGCTCTCAATACCCGAGAATAATAACCAAGATAAAAAAGCAGTACTTACCAAGACGGGCGCTAAAAGTTTGCAGGTGTTGAATGAATTCATGTTTGCCCTGCTGCTTCCTCCCTTTGGTGTACATACATTTCTGCACACGGCGAAGACACTGATGGCAGCTCGGTTTCTCTCCATCGCAGCGAATCTTCCTCTTTCTGCAAGACAAGCGAGCGGTATGCCTTGGCTCCCTTGTGACAGCCAATTTACCCTGGAAATTTATAGTGCATTTAATGTTGTTGGAAAAAGCCTGCCCTCAATGTAAGATAGATTTTGGGGGTGGTCATTTAAAACAAAGTACTGAAACACCATGAAAAGAGTTACCCCTCGGCAAGGCCGATGATAAGGATAGAAACTAAAACATGCGACTAAGGTAAAGCTGGATCGTTGGCAGACACCATTCTGTCGATACGACGGCAGTATTAGCCTGGCAGGGAGCCTAGGAGCAAGAGAACACCAAGAATACCGAGCAACCTCTTTCCACGGCGGGCTCCGCAGTGAGCTGAGTAATCAGTGGTATCAGTTGCGCAGATGAAGGGACTAAATTCAAATGCCT